GTTTTCTTGTTTTCTTTCATTTTACTCAATTTTTATCACTCACATGTTTTGTGCATTAATGTTATTATTATTATTTTAATATTGCTATTTAGGTTTAATCTATTTTTTACACTTTTTGTTATTATTTACTTACAGTTAGTAATTTTAGTGCTTCTACTAAAACTTTTTTCAGTTAGTTGATAAAAAAAATTTTTTTCTCATTTTAATTTAGTTTAAGTTTTTCTTCTAATATTTATATTTTATTTCAGCTTTATTCCAAATGACAATTTTTAAAAAAATTGTTTTAGTTGATAATAATAACCCTGGTGGACATCAGAGTAATGCATTATGAAATGAATTGTAATTAATTTAACTGCATTTTAAATTCCAATTCAATTCCTAAATTTTAAGGGTAGTAAACCTATTGCAGAAATAGAATTTTAGGATGCAGAATTTAAATGAAATTCCCATAAATGAATACAACTACAAATGGCATGAATTGAACATTTTCATTAATGCATGCTGTGAACGATTCATCCATGTCTATGTGTGATTCTTTAAATGAATCATTATGTTGCATAATTAATTATGTTTATTAGGTGATAAACACACAGCTTTGAAAATAATGCTCTTCAACAATGATAATCAGTCAAACTGCAGCTGTAAATGAATGTCTGACCTGACTAAACTCTGGCCGTCTAAACCTCTGAGAGTCACTGACTGGCCAAAACAGCGGCCATCGCCGAGCTCGGGACACGCTGATATGGGTCTCCAGGGCAAACCATCAGAGAACGCATCCAGAGCATCCGGGAGACAGCCGCCGTGCATCATGGGAAACGGGACAGAGCCGTACGCTGAAACAACCTGGAAAACACAGGTGCATGACTGAACACGTTACAGACTAAAGCAAGGCCCTATGATTCCCACGATGTGGAAAAGACAGACATAACTGGGGAATTTTATTTCATAAAAACTAACATGAGAAACACACAGAAACTCAAACAGTCTTTGCTATACAGCCTACTAAAATAAAAGTTCAGTGTAAATTAATTATGACAGAAATATCACTATTGTACAGCAGAATGAACTTCGTTAAAGTAATAATAATAATACAATTTTATTGATTATTTTTTAATTTATGCAGCAAACCTCCACCTTATTTGACAAAAATGCTACGTTTTGTTTTAAATGCATTGTTGTATTTATACTTGATTACAAGTTTTCGATGAAAATTTGTATTAAAATCAAAACTATATTTGTGAGAAAATAAAATCAGAGTTTGTAGGGTATTTATTGTTAAAAATGTAATAAATAATTAAATTATGTATTAAATTTAATTATTAAAATAAAGTTTAATGAATTAATTTGGTAAGACATGCACTCTGATGATTACAATTAAAACAATTGGAAAAAATGAAACCCTACGACCCATTTATACCATGAATGATATCTATAACAATAACTATATTAGCATTTACACCAACGGATGATAACGTTTTGTTTATTCTGCAGTTTTGCTGCCTGTCACTTTAAATGCTGGAGCTCTTTAAAGCAGGATGGATTCTGATTGGCCGTCTGTGTTTAATGAGTCCATATATGATATTGTTCATAGTGTTCACTTAGAGCGATTATTAATAATGTATTATCGTTATCGTCCTTGGTGTGAACCAGCCTTCACACTTACAGAATTAACTGAAATTAAGTGAAATAAAATCCACACTGTAAAAAAAAAAAATCCCTAAAATTTACTGTAAAAAAACGGCAGCGGTGGTTGCCAGAATTTTACCAGGATTCTGATTGGCCGTCTGTGTTTAATGAGTCCATATATGATATTGTTCATAGTGTTCACTTAGAGCGATTATTAATAATGTATTATCGTTATCGTCCTTGGTGTGAACCAGCCTTCACACTTACAGAATTAACTGAAATTAAGTGAAATAAAATCCACACTGTAAAAAAATAAAAAATCCGTAAAATTTACAGTAAAAAAAACGGCAGCGGTGGTTGCCAGAATTTTACCATAAAAATATGGTAGCAACATTTTAGGTTTTACGGTTTTAACTTAAATTTACAGTTAAATACCGTAATTCCATTAACTGATATAATGTTAATATACCAACCTACTGAAGTATTGAAATCTGTTTTGTAGCTTTGTAATACACTGATAACCACCAAATGCAGGAGGTGATGAGAAAGTCACACGATGAACCAAAGCCCATCACAAGCAGCTTTTAAATAATAACATATATAGAAGCTGCACAGCGTCATTCACACAAACACTAAACACCATCACGGTAACACACATGAAACTGAAATAATGCAATACACATTCATTTAACAACATTAGGTGTAACACACAACCCTAATATACAAAACTGATAAGAAAAACTAAGAAGAAACAGTTATTTCAACAAAAAAAACATCACATTTGAAATGTAACGCAGGGAATTCTGGGAATGTCAATTTACGGTTATTCACTGTAAATTATATGGTCTTTTTCCACTTAAAAAAAATGGTATGAAAAACATCACATTTGAAATGTAACGCAGGGAATTCTGGGAATGTCAATTTACGGTTATTCACTGTAAATTATACAGTCTTTTCACTTCAAAAAAACGGTATGCTACCGTAAAATTACATGTAATGTCCAATACAGTTTTTCACCGTATACAGTAGGGGAACTTATCGTTAACCATTTAACAGGTTTTTACTGCAGCATTTTTACAGTCTTTTACCATTAAATTCACTGTCATTTTTTACAGGGTTCTTTTTCCACTTCAAAAAACGGTATACTACCGTAAAATTACATGCAATGTCTAATACAGTTTTTCACTAGGGGTGTGCGATATTGACAAAAAATAATATCTAAATATTTTCTGGGATTTTATCGATAATGATAATTAGACAATATTTTGCTGAGTGTGTTATTGTGCTGGTATCTTAAGGACTACCGTGGACACTCCTGAAGTTTTTGATATTCTTCATATTCTGTGTGATGGTCAGGTCACACTGATAGAAATTAATCTTTCCCAATAAGTTTAAAGTGATTTTTCCATTTTATGGGCATTTTTACCTTTATTAAGCCATTTATTTATAAAAGTGTCCATTATCTTTTGAATACTGATATTTGAAACTATTTAAATAATAAAAGATACTTTGAATGTGAAATTCAATTAAAACCGCCAGTAGGTGGCAGCAAGTCACTGTTAATAAGTGAGCCATTGTGATTGAACCGAATCATTTAAACGCTTGATTCATTCAGGAACCAAACACTGTCATGTTGCTCAGAGACGCAAAACAGCATTTTGGCTTTGTTTGGAATTATTTTTGTTGTCGAAATACAGCAAAAACAGGAAACATGGTGTCTAAAATGTAAGTCTCTTAATTAACTTCTTGTTTACTGAACTGTTATAAAAAAAAAAATCAATAGCACATTTGTAATCATGGTCATTTTTGGAGAAAAAAACATCACTCTTCGTGTGAAATTGATTAACTTGACTATATGAACTGGTATAAATATATAAATTTTCTACCCCCATGTCTTGAATTTTTGATCTTTCCAAATGTATTTTAATAGACTGAATCATGCAGTGAAATAACTCACTCTAAATGCATACACGAACTAGTCTCTAGACTTCACGTAATGTAAGCGTGCACTCTGCAGGGGTGTTCACTGTTAATAAGTGAGCCATTGTGATTGAACCGAATCATTTAAACGCTTGATTCATTCAGGAACAAAACACTGTCATGTTGCTCAGAGACGCAAAACAGCATTTTGGCTTTGTTTGGAATTATTTTTGTTGTCGAAATACAGCAAAAACAGGAAACATGGTGTCTAAAATGTAAGTCTCTTAATTAACTTCTTGTTTACTGAACTGTTATAAAAAAAAAATCAATAGCACATTTGTAATCATGGTCATTTTTGGAGAAAAAAACATCACTCTTCGTGTGAAATTGATTAACTTGACTATATGAACTGGTATAAATATATAAATTTTCTACCCCCATGTCTTGAATTTGTGATCTTTCCAAATGTATTTTAATAGACTGAATCATGCAGTGAAATAACTCACTCTAAATGCGTACACGAACTAGTCTCTAGACTTCACGTAATGTAAGCGTGCACTCTGCAGGGGTGTTTTGAATGTTTTTTGCAAAATACTCGATAATGTCAAATCGCACACCATTAAAACAACAATTACGATATTATCGCAGACGATATATATTGCACATCCCTATTTTTCACTGTATATAGCAGGGGAATTTACCGTTAACCATTTAACAGGTTTTTACTGTAGTCTTTCTACAGTGTTCTTTTTCCCACTTCAAAAAACGTATACTACCGTAAAATTACATGTAACGTCCAATACAGCTTTTCACCGTATACAGTAGGGGAACTTACTGTTAACAATTTAACAGGTTTTTACTGCAGCATTTTTACAGTCTTTTACCGTTAAATTCACTGTCACTTTTTACAGTGTTCTTTTTCCCACTTCAGAAAATGGTATACTACCGTAAAATTACATGTAACGTCCAATACAGCTTTTCACCGTATACAGTAGGGGAACTTACTGTTAACAATTTAACAGGTTTTTACTGCAGCATTTTTACAGTCTTTTACCGTTAAATTCACTGTCACTTTTTACAGTGTTCTTTTTCCCACTTCAGAAAATGGTATACTACCGTAAAATTACATGTAACATCAAATACAGTTTTCACCGTATACAGTAGGGGAATTTACTGTTAACCATTTAACAGGTTTTTACTGTAGCATTTTTACAGTATTTTACTGTTAAATTCAAGGTAATTTTTTACAGTGCAGCGGTTATACTGACCTTCCTTCCCGAGACGGCCAGAGCGTCTGAAAGCTGCCACATGGGTGCGCTGTTCTGTCTCAGTCTGTACGAGGCCGTCATACAGTCCAACGCCAGAGCCAGAACCGAGCTGGAGTGATACCACAGCATCGGCTGAGAGAGATGGACAAACATATCACAAAACAACCACTGAAAACATGCTAAAATACACGGATCATCAGTGGAGAGTAAGGATGCAACGATACCATTTTCTGAGAACCGATCCGAGCACAGTTTGTTTTTTAAATCAATGTAGAATTTCTATACTTCTGCGTGTTGACCTGATCGTCACTGTTTTGTGTGTTAAACACAATCTGCTAAATATAGGCAACTTCATTTTAATGAAAAAAATATAAAATCATACTCTATGACAAAAATACTATTATAAACTAGGTTAGTGGATAATTCATAAAACATTATTTAGTCGGGAATAGATAAAAGTTAATAAGTGTAGGACTAATTCTGGTAAAAATGTTACACATTGCTCTTTGTATTGTTGTAAAATACATTCATGAAAAACAAGTAGGTCTAAATATATTAATACTATAAATATATTTAAATGTTTAGCACCGTAATGAAGGCAGCAACATATTCATTGCGCAAAAGTATTATAATACGAAAGGCTCCGATACAGAGCGGCACAAAACGCTTACGCACATCCCGTGGAGAGAAGAGTTTATGTGAACTTGGCTTATATATTCATCTGTACCTCACATTAAACTATGGAACGGCTTCAGAACACTTTAAATATAGTCCACGGAAACTTTATGATGCTTTATAATGTTTTTGTGCCTTTCGTGGGGCTTAATAATAACACAATAGTATACACACAATATCGGATTTGGATCGGTCTCCTCCGACCGATACCCGATCCGACAAAATGCCAGTATCGGAGCCGATACCGATAATGAATATCGGATCGATGCATCTCTAGTGGAGAGACAGACAGGATGACCAGGAAAGACAGGAGCATGAACTAAATCAAGAACTATATAAACCATGTTAAAAACAACACTGTATCATCAGAGTATTTACGTCACAGTTGAGCAGCGGGAAGGCTGTGGGTGGAGGCGGGCGTCTCATTAACCCGCCTCTTAGGGTCAAAGGGCAGAAGAACGAGCTGTGATTGGCCATCTGGAGTGTTCCTAACGCACAGTTCATCATGTGGTACAAGTCCTTTATAGAGCTCTGTCAACAGAAGACAAAACACATTTAGCCACTACACATTTCAGTTTTCATTCAATACACACTACCAGTCAAAAGTTATAAAAAAATAAATTTTTGAAGAAGTCTCTTCTGCTCACCAAGCCTGCATTTATTTGATCCAAAGTACAGATAAAACGGTAATATTGTGAAATATTTTTACTATTTAAAATAACTGCTTTCTATGTGAATATCTGTTAAACTGTGATGTATTTCTGTGATGCGCAGCTGTATTTTCAGCATCATTACTCCAGTCTTCAGTGTCACGTGATCTTCAGAAATCAGTATAATATGCGGATTTAAGAAACATTTCTGGTTATTATCAATGTTGAAAACAGTTGAGTGCAATTTTTTCAGGATTCTTTGATGAATAGAAAGATCCAAAGAGCAGCATTTATCTGAAATAAAAAGCTTTTGTAACATTATACACACAATACCATTCAAAAGCTTGGAGTCAGTATATATATTTTTTTTTGGAGGAAAGAAATTATAGAAATTAATACTATTATTCAGCAGGGATACGTTAAATTGATCAAAAGTCATGATAAAGGCATTTATAATGTTATAAAATATTTCTATTTCAGATAAACACTGTTCTTCTGAACTTTCTATTCATCAAAGAACCCTGAAAAATTCTACTCAGCTGTTTTCAACATTGATAATAATCAGAAATGTTTCTTAAGTCAGCATATTATACTGATTTCTGAAGATCATGTGACACTGAAGACTGGAGGAATGATGCTGAAAATACAGCTGCACATCACAGAAATAAATTCCATTTTAATAGATATTCAAATAGAAAGCAGTTATTTTAAACTGTAAAAATATTTTACAATTTTACTGTTTTTGCTGTACTTTGGATCAAATAAATGCAGGCTTGGTGAGCAGAAGAGCCTTCTTTAAAAATCATTAAAAATCTGGTAGTGTACAGATGAAGTGATGTTAAATTAAAGTATGAACGCTTGAATGATCTCACCGTTTCTGGGTGATTGACAGGTGCCACGCCCCAGGTGAGGATGCCACGCCCCCCGTAAGAGTCCTGCAACAGCTCTGTGACCTTTGACCCCAAGCCTGAGAAACCATCAGCAAGATCGCACAGCACCTGAAAACCCTGAGCAGGAGAGAACAGAGGCACGGTTTACATTTAAATGCATTATACTCCTCTTCAGTGACTCACATAAAAGATTATTATACATATTAGAGTATAATACATACGACACATAAATACATACATTATTTCAATGCATTTGCATTCGCTCACAAAACTTTTGCACTTCTCAAGAAACTTTGCATTCGCTCGCAAAACTATGGAAGCTCATTTCTGGTACATAAGAAAAAACATGCTTTGTTAAATCAGAATTATGAGATGAAAAGCTGAAATTGTGACTTTAATGTTGTTATCATGAAATATAAAGTCCAAATTATGGCATAAATAGTCGAAATTATAATATACCAAGTCAATATTATGACATGCTAAGTTTAAATTATGATATAAAAATTCACAATTATGCCAAATAATTAAAATTATGAAATAAAACATCAAAACTATAGTATAAAAAGTTGGAATTGACATGAAATGACGAAATTATGAATATATATATATATATATATATATATATATATATATATATATATATATAAATTATAACATGCTTAGTAGAAATTATATACTAATCATATTATTATTATAATTACATATCAAATCAAAATTTCGACATACCAAGTCAAAATTGACATAAAAAGTAGAAATTTTGACATACCAAGCCAAAATTATGACATAAAACATTGAAATCATGAAATAAAATGTTGAAATCAAGTTGCAACTGACATGAAATAAAAAGTCAAATTTACGAGTCAAATTGAAATGACATAAAAAGTCTAAATTATGACACAAAACACTTAAATGAAATAAAATGTCAAAATTATGACAGTCGAAATATGACATGAAAATTCAAAATGAGGACATACAGAGTCAAAATAATGACATAAAACAAAAAAAACTGACTTAAAAAGTATTTTAATGTTCCCCTAACAAATAACACTGTATTAATTTGCAAATCTTTGGCGTTCCCCGAGAAACTTTGCATTCGCTTGCAAAGTGGTG